CGCAAGACACACGGGTCCCTTGGCAGCCTCTGTCAGCGTCTGCGCAGCCCAGCTTACACAGCTGGACCCCGTTTACAATTCTGAAAGGATTTTTTCTTTTTTTCTTGTTTGCTTGGCTGGCTGTTTTACTTTCAGATCGCTTAACAAACAGGAAATAAAGAGGACATCAAACAAATGACAAACAGAGCTCCACATACTGCCCCACTCAGCTGGGAAGCTCAGTGTGAGTCTTTGAGGGATGGGGGTTCCAGCGTCTGTGCCTCCCTGGACGCGACCCACTTCTTCCCAGCCCTTCCCTTTTATCCTACGACTATGAAAGAACTTTTTATTTAACCAGCATGGGGAACCCTTCAGTTCAGCTGCCTGAAAGCCAGACCACTACTTAACTGAAAACATACGTGGAAAGAAAAGAGAAAGAGAGAGTTAAAGAGAGGAATACAGTCTTCATTGCCTCTGTGGACCACGATGGCATGTGGGGGAGGCAGCTTCCAGCATATTGACAAAAAAATCCAACTTATTGTACAGCTGCCAAATCAAGCTAAAATGAAATATTTTTGATGGAGCAAATGATACTTGCTTAAGCCCTGTGCAAAGCCCCAACCTCCCACCAATTTAGTGATTTCAGCCTTCACTCTCATACCGCACAGCTGTCTTGAATGAGCAGGCACCAACCATTCCAGCCCATTTCAACTAAAATAAGAGTGTGGCAAAATTACTCCAATTTTATTTAGAGTTACTTTGATCATAAGGATATTCTGCCCAAGGCACTGCCTCAGCAGATGGAGCTTTTCCAGCCTCCTGATTTCAGAGGCCCCTATAAAATCAGGAGGCTGAAAAAGCTCCATCTGCTGATTTTCTAGTGGCCTCCAGAATTCATGAACTTCTCCTGGTTCATCACCCTTTTTACGGAGTGGTGCCAGAAGCAGGACAAAACCTTTACCTCATTACAGACTGCTAGAGCATTTTTTCCCCTTCTATATGGGAAATTCCTTGAATGCAGTCTCACCATTGATGTGCTATGGAGGAAGTTATTAAAAAGCTTAGTTAGTAAATTCTGCAGCCACGTTTTCCCTGTGGAGTGGACTTTCCTCTGCCTATTTACCCAGAATAGTATTTCATTCAGTTTTGGGCCTCTGACTGCAAGAAAAATTGAGTTGCTGGAATGCGTTCAGAATAGAGCAACAAAGCTGGTAAAGGAACTAGAAAACAAGGTATAAGAGGAGCAGCTGAGGAAACTGGGGCTCTAAGTCTAGAGAATAGACTGAGGGTAGACCTCAACACACTATAACTACCTGAAAGGAAGTTGTAGCAAGGAGGCCATTGGTCTCTTAAGTTAGTCAGCAAGCAATAGGACACAAGGCAACAGCCTCGAGTCAGCACAAGCACATGTGCTAAAGCAGGGAAGAGCAGAGTGCGTGGAAATGTATTCTGTGTTCTTCAGACTCAGGTTGCCACATCTTTCAAACTAGAGTTAAACTCCATATGAAGGTTAATGATAGCAATAAAATAAATCAGCCCTATTATAAGTGCTCCATCTTAGTCTATTAAGTTAGTAAATCTATACTACACATATATTATGCAGTCATAAATATCTCTCCATGTTTATATTTTAAACACATAAAACATAATTCACCACAGCAGGAATTACTTTGCATTCAGTAGAGCTAAAGGCAGAGCACGGTCTGATGCCAGGCTCTTGCCACCCCTTTCCACCTGAACCCACACCAGTATTTAGAATTTGAGAGAAGCTTTTCCAAACGTTTTCCAAGCTGTAAATACATCAACAGCATCTAATTGGAGAGCTCCTAGAGCACGGTTCTGAGGGTTGCCTTCAGAAGGGATCCTACACCCTGCAAAGCTGGAGCTTCCTTGGGTGTGCTCAGCTCTCGCTTCTCTAAACTCACACAGCTTCATCCGAAGGTGAGCAAAAGCCACCCGGGTATGAGCAAAGCCAGATTTTACCTTCCTGTGTAAAATTCATATAGCCTTATAAGACAAGAATATGACAGGTTTCTGAAAAGGCTGGGATATGCTGCTCCATCCTCATGGCAACGGGAGGAGCAACTGGAGCTGTACCTGGGCAGACAGTCTTTTTTCATAATCCATGATGTGCTGTAGGCAAGTTATTTGCATTGTTGCATTTGCAACATCTTTGAGTGATTCTGCAGCATTCAGACTGGTAATGAAGGCAGGGGAATCAGCATCGGAGCAATAATTAATCTGAGAAAGAGATCCCTAGTTAGCACGTGCTCTGCAGTAAGTTGTATTTAACGATTATTTGACTAAATTTCTATGACCTAAGCCCACAAATCTTAAAGAACAGAGGTTTCTGTTCTTAAATCTTCTTACAAGCTTTTGACTAAGCACCCTGACCTGTCATCAGCACATACATGTATGATGGACAAGTCACATTATACCACAGCATTCCTTGCATGCATGTACAGGGAGGGTATTTGCCTTAAATGTAGCCAAACCTGAGCACTAAACTCTGTTTCTTGCTATGTTAGCCCACTTTTAGGTTTGAACCTGGTGAAGATATCACTTTGTTAGAGATACCCTTGAAATCAATGGAGTTACTCACTGGTAGCAAAATCACTACAGAAGGATGCTTATTTTGCTGAAACGCTGTTGATGGCAGGACCGTGGCGCACACACTCTGCATGCCCCCATCTCTAACACTTTTATTCACAGGTTCAATGACAAAGGGGACATTTAAAAGAATCTGAAGGAAAATAAGGCTAACTGTCCAGCATCAGCCCTCAGTGGCATAGTTAAGCTGATTACATACAACTGACATTACCCTGGCAGCCAAAGCCCAAGAGCACAGAGTTTCAAACTTCTTTTGCTGCTCTGGCTTATTTCGCTCAGCAAATCTGGTAAACTGCATTAGCAAAGGCACTTTTTCTTCTGTAAAAGACCAGTCTACACAAGGCCCGTTTTGTTAGTACAGCTATGCTGGCAAATCCCTTAAGCAGAGGCAGATCCCAGCAGAGCTGTAGATGAGGGCCAGAGTTCAGATTCATAAATCAGAAACCACCAGGGACCAGCTGAGACCTCATGGCTGCCTGCGAACCTGCTTTCACTTGCAGCAAAAGCACCTCGACGCAATAGTTTTAATGTCTTTTACCAAAGCTTAAAATGGCCTGTATTTCCTGTGAACTAAGAACATATCTGTGGAACACATACTGAAGCTTTCTTTATGCAATTTGTAAGTAAAGGGACACGAGCACCTGTGGAGCAGCCAGGAGAGGCAATACCGATCCTCCTGCTCACACCTGCCCCAGGAAACAAAAGCTGGCTCTGGCTGCCGGACATGTTCCATTTTCCATCCTTCAAGTTCTATTAGATCTTCAGATCAAAGCGTAGCAGGGCTTGTCATCTTTTATTTTGTTGCTTTGCAAAGCTCCAGCTTTTGCAGGCTACATTTCAGTCTGCTGTGTTCTGCTAAAGCAGCTTACAGCTTGCCAGGGACAGAGAGCAGCTCTCCCCCATGTTTATATCCTACCAAGCACAGTGTAGGTAATCAATAAATCAGAGATTGCCTCAATAAAACGTTGTATACGTTTCATTAAATCATTTAAGCATGTGTGTAAGTAACTGCATGAAAAACATCCAAGTGGAGCACTGCAGAACTCCATAATGCCAAAGACATTAGGGAAAGGGAAGGTGGCCTTTGAAAAATGGATGGCTAGAGAAGTCGTGGCTTTCAGCCACGCTAGAGCCCTTTGCTTCCAGTGTAAAGCACACCAATCATTCCCCCTGACAGGAGAATTAAAAAGACAAGAGACTATTTAAGTGGTGGACAGTTCTCCCCTCCATACTGATACCATATTTCAGTAGCTTTTAAACACGTAACTGCTACATGTTTGGCTCTTTACCTGCCATAACTCACGAAGAAATGCTGGGCAGGGCTGAGGCTGGCTGCTGGAAGAAGCAATAATTAGGATAGCCAGCAATGATGGGCAGAGAAAACGCAGTGCTACAAGAGAACACAAGTGAGTACTTGCCCCAGCTGTTACAAGCACAAAAATGTGATCCTGCAAGACTGAATCTTTCCAAGGTCTCAAATAGGGAGCAACAGGGAATGAATAAGAACAGAAACCCATGGGGTAACACCTGAGCACCAGATCTGCTGCCCATCCCACTGCAGTCCCTGCTTCTGATGGGCGCTCCTTGCCCTCGCAGCAGCTGCACCCCCCCAGTGCCTCCTGTCGTTCCCCAGCAGCAGCCAGCAGGGCTTCCAGACAGTTTCAGATAATTAATGCAGACACTGGGGACACAGCTCTTTTGCTACCACTATGACACTACTAGCATTACAGACCATTCCCCATGGCTAAGGTAAAAGCCTATTTCTGGCTGCTCTGCAGCCCTGCTCCTGACTCTGGGCAGGCTGAGCAGCATCTGGGGATGTGGACTTGGGATCCTATTCACAATCCCTCCAGTATCCTGCAAGAACAAAGCTGGTCCCATCTGCTGCCATCCATCAACAGCAATGCACAGAGACCACCGAGAACCTAAGGGCAACGTCTGCTAGCCTACCAAGTACCCTGCAATTCAGAGCCAGTTTCAAGTGGCTGCAAGTTCAGAGCCGCATCTCCTTAACAGGAGTGGAAAAAAGAAAAATCCCTGCAACCCTGTCCCAGCTCTTGTCAACTCCACGGGGCACCCATAGGGTGAGCCCCTCTGCTCTTTTTGGTGTGGGTATCACAGCACAGCTGCGTACAAGCAACAAATGGGTCCAGATGTGGAGAGAACATGGATCCAGACCGAAATGGGACCCAGGAGCAGAAGCTGCTGGCCCTCGTAAGGACTGTGAGGAAGAAGGACGAGCTGTGCATGTGCCTGGAGGTCCCACACCAGCACTGCCACACGCAGGGTGCTCAGAGCACTGAAGTGCTGCTGCTGTGGGCTCTGGGGTGACGAAACCCAAATCGTTCACAGCGCGGCTGCATGGGAGGGATGGAGTCAGCACATCAGGCACTCCACCAGGAAAACATTCAGAGCTGGTTAAAAATGCTCCAAACGCTTTAATGAGTGCTTATGATTTTTAATATCTGCATGTCAGATCTTCTTCTTATTACTGTTCCTTCTCTTTTAATAAGTATAAAAGGACAGGGAAGAGCTAAGATATTTCCTGATGTATTCTGTTTCCCTTTAGATAAATAAACCTGTAAACATTTCAAAAGATGCTCAAGTTTTTGTTTTCAATACACACCACCCATGTCATTTCCTCTCAAAAATACGCTTGTGGGAATGCTCCACAGTTCTCATATTTATATTCAAAACAGACAGCCTCTGACTGCAAACCAAAGCAGTCTATAACCAGCACCTCTGCACACGACCAGGTCTCACTGATGTGTAAGATATACCGTCTTCACTGATACAGATTCATACTTTTTTTCTTCCGCAGGTTGTAATACGTTTCCTAGACTGCTGATGTGTGATGCTTCCAGATATTTACTGGGTGTTTTGCTATAGACACAGAGCTCTGTCAGTTAAAAAAAAGTACAGATTAAGTCATACTGGCATTTTTTCTTTTTGATAGTTATCTCAGAACAGAAATGATTCAGTCCCAAGCGCTCGTTTGTGCTACTACCCATTTCATCTGTGCTAACAGAGTGCCTAAGTATAACTACAGCAGCAAACCCAAGTAACTCTTCTGCCCCCTGTCACCTGGATGCACAGATTTAACTTCAGGATGTGCTGTTTAGCAGTTGTGTCCAAGTGACTCTGGCAAGATCCACAAAAACATCAGCCAGTGACTAGCTTGTGCAATTCTCAGCCCATCAGCAGAGCTCACCTTCCAGGGGCCAACAGACCAGAGGTGGTGGAACTGAAGGCAGCAGCACGGTCTTGCCACTGAAAGGCTTGTCCCTCCCTTCACCTTGCTCTCTGCTGATGGCAGCAGAGCACTTACTGACATAAAAATGAGTGCCAGAAAAAGAGACAGCATACTGGATTCGAAGTGCACAGCCTGCAGGTTGAAAGGCTGTTGTTGGGTTTGTAGATTGAGTTTAATGCCAGTTGGTTATTCTGTGGTATGACCAAGGAGGGAACATGACATCATTCATCCATACTTCCCTCCCCCCCTCCCTTTTTTTTTTTAAGCTATTGACAGATCTCTGACTAATAAACAAGATTCATTGTGTAATACTACCTTGTTTTTATTCAGTCTGGCACCAGGTTTATTATCTATTTCCATCAGCTTTTTGTTTGTTTTAAATGTCTACAAGAGGCAGATTCCTTAGGGAAAGAAAAGAAAGAATAAAAGTTAACTCATTTCAACTCTGGAGTTCCTGAGAGTTTTTTTAAAGCCTTTTATAAAACAAACAGATGAGAGGAAAGGTCTCTGGTGCTCATAGGATGTGAAAGTAACCTTCAAAATGTGAGTCAGATATAACCTATGCAGTAACATCTACCTGAGCTGGCAAAGAGCTCGAAGCAATAACGCATGAACTACTGTCCAGTTCTGCTTCTGTAATAAGTATCCACGCCAACTATTTCAGTGCTCAAAGACCTAAAAAGGGAACAGGGCTATTACTCCAGTGATCTGTAAAATACCACGTTGTCAATCTCTAATATTGAAAAAAGTCCCACATAAATTCCATTTCCCCAAAAAGACAAGAGACCACGTTATAAAAATATGAAATTAAATACTCGTAGGCATTGTGCTATGCCTTCATATCCTTAATTCTCTCGTAGATAGTGAGGTCAAAATTGTAGGCTTTCATCCACATTCAGAAATGTAAGAAAAACGTTAAAATCGTCCTGTAGCCGCTTGGCTTTCAAGGGGTGTAAAACAGATTGCTCTAAAGCTCACAGTCAGCTTCTGAGACAAGGTCAGCAATCAAATGTTGCAACCATCACTTCAGCACATGCTAAACTGGGCCTGACAGGGTAAATTCTACAGAAGCAAGTCGGAGAGGTTTTGGCTGCAGGGGTGTTCCATGAAATTTGCTTATCATTTACTCATTTGCTCAGGATAAAGGCTCGCCCCCCAGCCCAAGCTGATACAGAGAAAATGATTACTGTAAAAGTCATTACCTCATCATTAACATCAAGGGACCGCATGCCTCTTCCCATATTTGTTACTGAAAACCAGTAATAAGTGTGGGCTGTGCAAATAAAACCAAAATGGCAGTCCAGATAACCAAAGGAATTGTCACAACACAGGAGAGGTTCCCTCATATGACTGTACCCGTAAGGGTACACCTAAAAAGCAAGTCTATTTCCAAGCTTACTTCAATGGGAAGAAAAATGTAGGCTTTTAAAATACTGATTGTCTCTCTCTCAGCTATTCAGGTGAAAATGCCAGAGTGGAACAGCAAAAGGAGAAGTGTCAGTGGCAAGAGCTGTACTGCAGCCCTGCATTTAAGAGCAAGCTTTGATCCTGTGCGTGTAGGGTGAGATAAGAGAGCAGGGTGGTGCTCCTGTTTTAGGGGCAGGACATGCTGTAAGCTCCCTTTATCCTGAGCAAGCTCTGGATTTGCATCCAGCACAGCGCAATGCCACGCTCAAGGCAAGGAACCACTGCACAAGTCTCCCACCGTGCGCCCCCAATCTGCTCTTGTCCTCAGGGATCCTCTTGGATCTGTAAACGTAAGTAAAGACAAGACAGTCCTGTCTCCTGTGCAAGATTTGCCTCAAGTCAGAGCCTGGGTTGATTTCTTCAATAACAAAAACGATAAAACACATTTCTGCCCCTAGTGACTATGATGTGCAGAGAAGGGAGAGGCAGAAGAGCAAGCCTTCACACACGCCGTGCTCTCAGCAGCATTCCTCCCTGCGCTGACACACACCGCCCTTCCGTGGCACCAGCCATTCATTAAGTCAGAAGGCTTGGCTTTGCTCTCTAGGTAGTTAATAAAGCGTGCTGTGTAGAGCTGTGGAGCCCTGCTCCAGGCACAACCCCTATGACAAGCTCTTCCTTATTGAAATCTGCTCCGCTGTAGCTCAATTTTGTTTGTACAAGGACTTCCAGAACTTCAGAGAATAAAACTTGTGCAGTGTTAACAGCTCTTTGTGGATCTCTTTTTGATCTCCAGTTATCCAAGGTCAAGCTGGACAGACTTGAGAGATTATTTATCTGGTTGCAGACCACTGAATGCGCTCCATTGGTACAGCTCCCAGTGTGCTCTGTAGAAATTTTAACTGACTCAACTGACAGCTGAAATTTTGCCTTGCCTTTATGGCCAAAAAGATGAAGAAACTGAGCTCTTCTATTTTCCCACAAAGGCTCCTTATCACTGAGATTACTCTCGCCATTACAACAGTAAGGGCTGTGCAGTACAGAACCTCGAGGCTTACAAGAAGTCAGTGCAGACAAATCATCTCTGAACCAGACGGAAGAGGTCTGGTGCAGAAAACCCACCACAGTTCCTGCCCCCGTCTCTGCTTCCCTACCTCGAAAAGAAAAATAAGCAGAGAGCAAATAGCCACCTAGCCATTGTCCCATGGAGCTCATCCTGTCCACCCACACCAATCTCGGGGCAGCGTGGGGGCTGTTGGCTCCCCGCCGGGTCCCTCGCACCAGCACTGTGCTCACAGCAAGAGCTGACTTCTGTCTTGAGCACCAGCTCTACCTAGAAAGGAAAAGAAAGAGCATGTTGCCCTGCCGTTTCACAGGGAACCAAAGCTAGCACAACATATCATCTGAAGACTAAATGTTTACTGCCATCGGATCCATCCATCTTCTTTGGGAGGAGCCCTTTTTGCCAGTCTCACTTGTGTTGGTAAAGGGGCAGCAAAGAGTCTTTTATCTGAAAGCACGTTTCCCTGGAGATCAAAAGTATATTCTTTAGTTTTCAAATCTTCCCTCTTTATCCTCACAGTTCCCATATACGGGAAAAAAATGGCAAAGCGTTAGTGGGGTACGTATAAATCACACCAACCACTGATCCTCTTATCCAGTAACCATAACACATCAGATGCTGAAAGTCTTTCTCCAAGCGAATAAAATAAATTACATTTTGCTGGCCAGCATACCAAACCTTATGTTGGTTATTGTAAATTACTGAAAGCACAAAGGTATAGTCTTTGTGTGCTCTTTTTGGAGTGTGGAACACGAACATCAAAGAAGGCAGTTATCATAGCTGCCCTCTCTGTCTCTGCCTTTGACAATAGACTGATCTCCTCCAATTCACTACGGAGTTAAAAGAAACAGAATTAGACAAACAATTCGAAAAAAAATGAAAAAAGAAAAAAGAAAAAGAAAAACACTTGCTACCAAAGCCAATAAATTATCTTTGTTATAAGTATCATAACTAAATATTTTGGCACTAAAATAACTGATTATGGGATAAAATCTTAAACAGAGCTTAAAAAGAGTTGAAGAAAAGGATACGTGCCGTATGAAAGTTTTTAAATTTCTCAAAAACTTGAATATTATATCACCTTTGCAGTTGATCAAAAACAGAGAGAATGCCATCAAAATTTCATTTATAAACAATAAAAGATTATTATCGTTCATGTGAAAATATTAGTCAGTGTGAAATCACCCAACTTCAAGACAATTTTTTTTGGCCAAGCTGTCAGAAGTGAGCTTGCCTCTCTCTAGGACAGCTCGCACGGAGCCACTGAGCTGCAGTCGGGATTCTTCTAAAACAAACCTGCACTTTTTGCATTCTTCACCATAAAACCATGAGAATCCAACTCTTCCTCACCATGAAAAATGTGTCACAGACATCACTGCCAGGTGTTTGTCCCATTCAAACTCATAAACCTGTTTTAATCTCCAGAGTGCCACAAAGCCATGCATGGCTGTACCCTGCTCCAGCCCGAGGACAATCTCAGAAATGAGAATGCTTGCTTGTGCAAATTAGGCTGAAGTGAGGAAGTAAAGCAACCTGAGAATATTCATGACATAACTTGCATGGTCTATTTCTCATCACGACAGAACAGAGGATGGCTGCAGTTTGTGCTTTAAGCTAGTTTTTCCCTGAGCAGCCTGATTTGTGCTCTCAGGTCTCTGCGTCCTTTCCCAATGGGTCGATGAGATTCAATGCTTACCAAAACTCCTCATCACGTTAAAACTTTACCTTCTTTCAAGCAATATGCACGACTCATCAGCTCAGTAGTCATGACAAATAAACCAAATTTCCCATCTGTGCCACTGCAAGCAAAGGCCACTTAAAACCAGCACCTACAGATGCTGCTTTGACACAGCGCAGCAATTCCAGGGCCGAGGAGCTGCCCGCCACCCTGACCTCCCAGCACAGGGCTGGAGCAGCTCCCTGCTCTCTCCTGTGCTTGGCTGAGAGGCAAACAATGTGAAAAGTCACTCCTGGGAGAAAAGAGTGGCTCATCTCCCTGTCAAGTAGGGTGTTTTAATTATGTTTCTTGGTTTAAAGAGGCACCGAGATGACTTTGTTTTTATAAGTGCTCTGGAGCCTGAGGCACTCGTTTGTATTACAGTTGGGTGCTTTTATTGTATATTGTGTTTTTAATTGTTCCTTAGAAGAGCGAGCAGTTTTCCAATGAGTAAATACATTATTATTATTTCTGATTCCATAATTATTTGGATCACTGTGGTGCATGTCAGCCACATGACTTGTGTGTATCTTTCTTTCTCCTCCTCTCTCAAAGGATTCTGTTGTTTGGATTATGCAATCATTTTGCTAATACCAGGACAGATGGCCACAATGAAAACACACAGAGTGCTCCCTCTGATAGATACTTGCCAACATCAACAGGAAAGAACAGAATTAAATTCATGAACTTTAGAGAGAAAGCACAAGCTTGTTCTTGAGCAGGGAACAGTGTAATGCTTTTATGTGCACAGCAAAAGCCAACGACAACCTACAGACATGAAAGCTGCAAGACTAGAACAATCCAAAACAGGGCCCCAAATAACCTTTTACATCCATATAACAGGGCGTTGCAAATCTCCTGTTTGCCACAGAAGGCACAGGTTGGACTTGGATAGGATGCAGCATGTTGGAAACATCCTGGGAAGTATCTCCTGCCTCTTGCATTTAGCAGGACAGCCTCGTCCCATCTTGTATGATATGAGCAATTAACTGATCAAACACCTTGATGCAGGACAGCATCTCCCCAGTCTCATTGAGTTTCTATAAGGAATTTTGGTTTGGGAAAAACAAAGGCTGACGTACCACCTCTTGAAGGCTGCCAAGTCCTCACTTTGCTCATACGTTTGCTCAGAAGCTGAACGAGCCATGCCTAAACCACTGTTGCTTAAAAATCTTCCCTGGCAGAGCTGTCACAGCTCCCCCAGTCTATTTGCTTTGCTAGACCCAGCCGCTGGAAAGGTTTCTTAACATCAAACTTAAGTCACCCCTACACACATCATCCCTCACCCTTCTCACAGCCCATTCCCTTCCCTTTTCAGCAACCTTGAAGGCTGTTCCTACATCTCCCTGCTGTCACCTCCAGAGCAGGCCGCAATCTAGGGATGCAGGGTGGAGCAGCACACACCGTAACAGCTCGTCGATAGCTTCTGCATCAACCCCCTAGCTTGTGTGGGGCACGGGTAAGTGTGCGTGCCATGTAATGTGGCATGGACGGGGGAAATGGTTCCCTATCCAGTACTGAGATGATCTGGATTTCAGCTTGAAGGCTTGCAGATATGGCCGCTAAATTCACCAGACTTCAGTTCCCCAAAGGAAGTCTAACACACTCGGAAAGTTTCCATCCTCCTGATCCAGCCAGTTTCCCAGGGCATAACTGTTTGTTCTCGACCAAGAGAGAGGCTCCTAGATGTCACTTGGCAACATCAGCAAATCCGTTTCTTTCTCCATGGAAAGAACTTGTGGTGCAGGAGGCCACTCAAGAACAGGAAGATTAAGTCAGAGAATCCCCACCACCAATTACAGATATCTTTTTTTAAAGACTGAAAAAGAAAAAAACAGAGAAGTTAGATTTCACTCTGATGTTCCTGATACTACCAAAATTATGATGCTCAATTGAGCGCAGCTGATAGGAGAAGGCACCTTGAACATAAAAAAGGCAAAGGCAATATTTGCTGTGTTAAATGGGTGGTCTCTGACACTGTCCTCACCTGGTTAGTGTTTGGCACAAAATTTAAATCCCAAAGTCTCAAAATAATTAACCCAAGCAAGGTGTAAGGAAAAGAATCAGGCATCACTGCCAGAGTAAAGCTCTGCAGTTCTTTAAAGCAAGTGACAAAGACCAGACCCTGCTTAGGCCAATACTCCTCGTCTTTGCAATCAAAATGCAGATGCATACACTAACCAGACACTCTGCCAAAGCTTTCACCTACATATTCTGTGGATCTAAACCTCAAGATGAAATGTAAAAATCCTAATACCATGAAAATGTCAATATAGATTTCTCTGGTGTTAAGCCCAGTGTTCACATGCCCTCACAAGCACACCGTGGAACAATATCTACTGATACAATTATATTATTTTCTAATAGAAATTGGTAATATAGATTTGGATCAACCAGAAGTAAAACACCATCATGGAAGTTCCTGCTATGAATCACTCAGGGAACTGTCTGCACTGAAATTCAGATCTTAAAGCTTTTTCTTTTGGTCTCTACCAGATAAATGCAAAAGGCATTGATATTGAGGAGACTTTCCCTCCATTTCTGCATGAATTGGATCAGGACAGTTTTTACAGTTCTGCAACTGCATTTCAAGCAAAATCCCTGCTGTAAATAGCAGAAGGCAAGAGGCTGTGCCTGTGAAATGTGTGATTCAAAACAAGAACTCTGCTGTGAACTCTATGGCTCTGCCCTTGCACAAATTCCACAGCTACAATCGTTTGAAACAACCAACACTTTTTAAAAAAGACGACCGAGTATGTTTGTGCTTGTTCAAGTGGCTCATACTAACTAATGTCAGCTTTTTGTGAAACTGAGCTTCTACTGGAGAAATATAGCCACTGGCCCTTGCTATCTAGAAGTAGGGCAGATTTTGGAGAACATGTATTTGCCAAGGCCAGAGACCAGCCTGTAGTAAAATGCACGCAAAGGCCAAGGTTGATCAAAAGAAAAAGGAAAAAAAAAAAAAAAAAAAAAGGAAATAAAGGAAAAAAAGAAAAATAAAGGAAAAATGTAATGGTTGCCAAGACCTACAGAGAATAAACAGAATTGGAAATAAATTCTCTCTTTCAGTATACTTATAAAAACAGTGTACGTATCCATTAGTCCATCCCACCAGGCCATCTGCTCTGGGCTCCAGCCATGGTACGGAGCCTCCAAGCCCTGGGATGGTCCCTGTGGGAAGGGATGCACCTTGGTGCAGTTCTTCCCTCCGGAGCAGCTCACTGCCTGTGTTTATGAGCATGGAAATGGACACCAAGAGTAGGTCCGTCACCAGCGAGGATGGACCAACCCCAGCACCAGCAAGCAGCACAGATACTCCCCCAGAAACCAAAATAGCCTGAGGAGCTATACTGCAAAAAAGTGACCAGAATTAGCACCCCAGTCAGACAGCTCTGGAGCAGCAGTGTTCCTCTCAGCAGACACCTTTCCATGCAGGACTATGGCTGACACTACAGCAAATGAGTAGAGAGGAAGGCAGAGTCCTGAATTTATATGGCCCTGTTCTGAGAAGAGCTCAGGCAACTTCCCATAGGGTCTGTAGTGCTTGCAGGGTGGTGA